AAATTTTCAAAAACCTTATGGACTTTCTTCATGGGAAGTTAACTTACGAAAATTTAACTTATGAGAAGTAAACTCACGAAAAATTAATTCGTAATAAGTAAACGAGAAGTTAATTCCCAAAAAGATAACTCACGAGAAGTTGATTTGGACTTTATAGTCACTCTTACTTCCCTAACTTCTCTAAATCTACCAAATTCTCTTAACTTCTCTAACTCCATTCTCTAAGACATCCAACTTCTCTTTAACTTCTCTAAGAGAAACTTCTCTTAAATATGAAAAATTTCTAACATTATTGATTAATCAAATCATAAAATTCCTACCAAACATAAATAATATTTTCAACTCCACAACACAAAAATATTATTTATGTTTGTGATAGACATATCTAAATTAATATATTCAACAATTTACTATATAAAAATATCAAACAAGAGCCATTTATGGTACCAAGGTTTCATAAATCTCCTATACACATCTCAATGTGGATTTTCTTCTTTCAACTGAGACAAAAACGCAAAATGAAAAAGCTTCAGATTAAGGAGGAGTTCAGTATCAGACAACGGCTAGAATGGAAATGAACCAAAGTCTCAATAAACCACAGCCAGAAACAATGAATTTAGAACCCAGCCATTGAAGTCTTCTGAAGAAAGTTCAAAAAACAATAAAGAAAATCAAAAGTGTATATTAAGAATGGAAAAGATAAATAATTTTCTCTAGTGATTCTAAAAAAATGATCAAAATAACAATAAAGTGATTCTAAACTGTTACATTTTTTACTCTTTTTGATACAACCCTGGTTGTATGGGTTGCTCTTCTTCGAGTCAAGAGCCAAACTCCATAGTTGTGCTTCGAATGACAGCCGAACTCCCAATGACTATACTTCGAGTGATAGTCTAATTCCCAAAATGTCTCCAGACATTCATTAATATATTCTTCATTGATATTCTCCAAATACACATATAGCTATATATATATATATATATATATATATATATATATATATTGAAAGGTTCTCGTGGGGTTGAATGCTTCCCGTGCGGTTGTGCGGTTATTAATGTGCGTGAGATTTGTACTCAATGTGCGTGAGTGTTGTGTCTAATGTGCCTGAGATTTGTACTTAATGTGCGTGAATGTGTAAAATGCAGCAGAAAATATGGATTTCAGCTTCTTCCCCATCCCCAGTAGCCATAGCTCCCTCCCCGATGATGATGATGCGGAGGCGAGCTATTGTGGTTAAGAATTATGGGAATAATACAACAGAAGTCCACATTTAGCTGCTGTGCAAATTTTACTGTGAGTGCGTCATTTATATAAACATTCAACTGCACTGAAGGTAGCTGATAATCCAGAATCCATGGCCAAATTGAAGGAAGAAGTAACAAGAAGTTTGAGCGTTAATGTGCGTGAGTTTCTGTTCTGCTTCCTTCTGAGCTCGAAATTCTGAAATACTCACGCACATTAAGCATGCACAAATCTCACGCACATTAAGCATGCACAAATCTCACGCACATTAAACACAATACTCAGGCACATTAAGTACAAAACTCACGCATATTAACATGACGCACATTAAGTACAAATCTCAGGCACATTAAGCACAACACTCACGCACATTAAGTATAAACCTCACGCACATTAATCAACCGCACAACCGCACGGGAAGCAACAAATGCACCTTATTCAATAGTCAAATAGTTACCACCTTGAGAACAAGGTGGTTTTGATGGGCGGGAAAATGATACAACCATAGGAGCTACATTATTATTATTATTATTATTATTATTATTATTATTATTATTATTATTATTAATGGTGGTGGTTTAGTTTATAGTGGAATAATGGGTAGTATATATATATATATATATATATATATATATATATATATATATATATATATATATATGTATGTATGTATGTGTGTGTGTGTGTGTGTGTGTGTGTGTGTGTGTGTGTGTGTGTGTGTGTGTGTGTGTGTGTGTGTGTGTGTGTGTGTGTGTGTGTGTGGAGAATATCAATGAAGAATATATTAATGAATGTCTGGAGACATTTTGGGAGTTAGACTATCACTCGAAGTATAGTCATTGGGAGTTTGGCTGTCACTCGAAACACAGCCATGGAGTTTGGCTCTTGACTCGAAGAAGAGCAACACATACAACCTCAGGGTTGTATCACTTTTTTACTTCTTTAATTTCTTTTATAATACGGAGTAGTTATTATTATTATCGTTGTCGTCATTATTATCATTATTATTATTGTTATTATTATTATTATTATAATAATTATTTTGGTTGCCATTATTATTATTATTATTATTATTATTATTATTATAACTTTTTTTTTGAATGTTACTAGCTTTATTACATTGTAGTATTTGTTCATATACTTTCTCAACCTACTGAAACACAAAGAGCCAATAACGCCTCCACTGAGACTTGAACTAACACAATACACTTTTATCCTTATAGGTCATTTTACATGTAATGAGTTAACGATTAACAACTAATATAATTTTACAAAACACCTTTTACAACTAACTAATATGATCACCTGATCAAACTAGTTAACTCAATCAACTAACAATGATCAACTAACTCAGCCAATGAACAAGTCTATTCAACCAACAATACACTTTTTAACCTTATATGCCCAAGCCCCAAAGACCACGCTACATGGACTATGAAGTCTTATGCCCCAGAGAACACGTACATTGACTTGGTCTTTCGTTCATTTGTCAAAAAGTGATAATTAATTATTGTGTGGACCACGGTTCAAAACGACATCGTTTTGATGTAAAAATTATAATAATAAATAAATAAATAAATTGCTCCACGTGCGTGTTAAAATAATGAATATATTCTAGGGTAAAATAATGATGAGTTAGAATAATGTAATTTATGTGTTAAAATAATATACTTTATGTGTTAGAATAATGAAATTTTTGGGGTAAGATAATTTATTTTATGAGTTAGAATAATGTACTTTATGTGTTAGAATAATATATTTTATGAGTTAGAATAATATATAGGGTACTTTATGTGTTAGAATAATGAAATTTTCTAGGTAAGATAATATATTTTGTTAACCGTGAACTTAACCGTGACCTCTAGAACCTGCGAACTATGCTGAAAATTCACGGTGGACCACTTCACACCGTGAAATAGGCCGAGGCGGTTATTTTTAGGGAACTTTTCATTCTCCACTCTCTCTCCAAGGTTTTCTTGGAGAGAATATCTCCAAACATTTCATTTGTATAATCAATCCATCTTTAAAGAAGATTTGAACAACAAAAGTTATCTTTTGTGATTGATGCTATGTCATTGAATTGAGTTATGAGCCATGTAATGACTTGATGATGACTCTAGTTGTGAGCTTGGTAGTTTGTATTGACTCTTGTATGATTGTGGCCAAAATGTGCAATAAGTGCATGGAAAAGGTCTTTTCACTATGAGAATAGGGCAACACCATAGACATATATACCTCTCACTAATCCAACTCACCTTTGAGAAAATTGGGATGAAATGAGACGTGAACACCACATGTTTGATAAAATGATTCAATGGCCTTGAGTCACCATGAGAGTGGGGCTTGAAGCTAATTGAGAGTCCAACGGCCATGAGAGTAGCGATGACACTTAGTAGCATCTCTCCAGTTCCATTGTCAATGCATTACATGAATTCTAACCAATGATACACTATACCATCTACACTTAAATGGCCTAGCCCATGCCCTTAGTTTTACTATTGCTTGTTAATAGCATTAGTTACTTGCTTTATTTTTACACTTTGCACTTAGTTGTTCCTTGATATCCCTCAACTCTTTGAATTAGCTTCAAAACACTCTACACTCTTGTGATTAACCACCAACACTTCAACACCCTTTCGGTCCACTCCTTGAGACGATATCCGGTGTGAGGATACCTCACACACACACTCCATTCCATCATCACTGCTTTACACAACTTTTACCATTCATTACTTTTCTTCTTACTTCTTCATTTCAAAAGGTAGGCCCTTTCACCATTTGACATTTGCAACCTTTCGGTCTTGTAGTCTTGAACTCTTCCACTCTTCTGACCTTCAATCCTTCGAAGTTTCTCCTTGATCGTCTAAAACGTAACCATTCGAGTTACCGTTCTAATTGACTTGACTATTGAAAACATAACCATTCGGACTTATTCAAAATAGAAAATAGAGTTCCTATGTGTAAAATATAAAATAAGTTGTGGACTAAAATTCCTAACTTTTGATTTCATCAAAATCTAAAATACAAATGTTCCTAACACATGGAAAAATTCCAATGTTTACAAACATGAAAATGATGGGAACTTAAGGGCATGTTTACTTCAGGAAACTATTTTCCATTTTATGTTTTTTAAGTTTTCAATTTCGATTCTCTGTTTTCTATTCTCTAATTTTTGTTTAGTATAGCGTAAATCTAAATTGTACACTTGTTCCTAACATGCATGGACAATGATCTTGTAATTTTTTTTTCTCTATTTTTGATTCTATTTGTTTAAAAGTAGAGGAATAAAATGATAATGAGTTTTGTATTTATTAAAGGATTTGAATATATAATAATAAGATAAAACAAATGTAGACAAACAAACATAATAATGGTATAAAAACTCATACTAGGGTGCAAAAGTTTCATCAAAACAATACCTAAGGGGGTGTTTGGTAGGATAGAATTATAATTCCAATATTTCATTCCTACCAAACTCTATAAAATTACAATTTCATGATTTTGTTGAAGAGAATTGCAATTCCATGAAATTACAATTCCCACCAACCATAGAATTGCAATTTCCAGAGTCCCCCTAGGAATTGCAATTTCATAGTTTGTGGAATTGTAATTTCAATGTGAATTATTATTATTATTATTATTAGACATTTTTATTTTATTCAATTTCTAACAATTCTATTCGTGCCTATCAGACAAATGTAATTTGAATTCACACATTATTTTTCTTCTTTTCCCTCCTGCTTTCCTCTTTTATCTGACTATAAAATCTGAAAGAGGATAACAATCCTTATTTAAAGAAAACCTTAAAGTCACTGCCCAGAATATATGCCCATTGCATGTATGTCAACCATATCATTCTCAACCAGAATCAATCTCTGCATCCTTATGCTCTTCATCTTCTCTTTATCCTTCCTGCCTTCCATATAGAATCCCAAACCTGTAGTATCAATTCTGATAGACCAAATCTTTTTAATTTAAAGAAGCACTTTTCAAAGTCACCAAACATCTCTCACTGGAATTCATCATATCATGATATCCGACCACTAACCCGCATGGGCAGCTCAACTAGATCGAGTCTCACCAGCGGCAATGTGGGAGCTACCTCTCAAAGTGAGGAGGGTTTCGTGTGCGCAGTGAGCAAAGGTCTAGCCTCTGTGGTTCATGTTCAGTTGAGTTGCTCTGTCAGATCGGAGTGTGGGGACCCTTAAGGTTGGGGTTCAACTTTTGGAAGAATGATATTCGACCACTGCACCTGGCCGTAATTAACAAACTTACACTAACAGACCACTACGTTGATTTCCGGAAGACTACTAAGTTGGCTCTGCAATAGTGGCTAGTCTTCCTCACAAAATCTGTTAAGATAGAAGGATTTTCATGCTAGCAATCACTGCCCAGAATATATGCACATTTCATGTCAACCATGTCAAACAACCTCTGCATCCTCAACTTTTTTCGTATGAAAGACTAATATGGTCAGTACATTGCTCTTTAATCGGGCCGGTCTGAAAGAAGTTTGTATTTACAAAGATTGAAGCTAAGAGTTAATATTATCAAATGAAACTAAAATGTAATTAAAATGATACTTACCTTATAAACTCCATTACTACATAGTCATGAACCATGGTCCACAATAAAATTTGACGCCCGCGTGACAGTCATTATATCATAGACCGCGGTGCATGTGTATCGCGATAAAAAAACGGTGTCGTTTCTTTAAGTAAAGAAACGGCACGCTGTTATAGTTAACGGAGTTCGCTTGTTTGGTGTATTAAACACCAATTGACACTACAGTATATCTAAACCGACACTGCAGTTATATCAAAATGATACTGTAGTTATAGTGAAATGAAACTGCAGTGTATATAAAATGAAACTGAATAACATTTCACATATTTGAGTGTATATTGTACAATGAGACTATAATTATATCAAAATGATCATGTAGTTGTGTTTTAATTTAAACTATAATGTATATATATAATTAAATTAAATAACATTTTCACATATTTAAGTCTATAAATATCGAATAAAACTATAGTTATATCGAAATGAAACTGCAGTGTATACAAAATGACACTGAATAACAGGGTTACTTTTTGCGAAAGGGTGCGAAACGATGGAAAACAAACACCCTTTCTTTTCATTTAACAAAAAGACGCGCGATGCATGATTGATCATGCACTGTGGTGCATGATATAATTTGCTCCCGCGTGGGTTGGGGGCTAGGACTTGTTTATTAAAAAAAAAAAAAAAAAAAATCTCTCCTATCTCCGTTATCACAAAATGAATATGAACATTGACTTAGCAGTGACTAAAGTTGACTCTGCAACAAAGTCATTCTCGTCAACAAAATCTGCAGGATAGAAGGATTTGCATGCCAACAATCCTTACTTACCTTAAAATCAGTGCCCAGAATATACATATATATATATGCACATTACTTGTATGTCTACCATGCCAATCAGCCTCACAGTAATCATCTTCACTTTCCTCTGCCATGCACAATCCCAAACCAGTCCTGACAGATCAATTCTTCTTGATTTAAAGAAGCACTTTTCGAATTCACCAAACATCTCTCATCACTGGACTTCATCATCAGACCACTGTACCTGGCTGGGAATCACCTGCAGGAATGGCGTCGTCACCAAAATTCAGCTTGGTACCCTAATCATCAACGAAACAATCCCACCCTTCATCTGCGACCTCAAAAATCTCACTCATCTTGATATCAACAACAACAATATTGCTGGATCATTTCCTGCATTTCTGTACAATTGTTCCAAGCTTCAATACTTGGACCTTTCTTTTAACAACATCAGTGGCATCATCCCTGATGATATTAGCCTGCTTTTTCCTCGACTCGAAGCTCTTAACCTGACTTCTAACTGGTTCGTGGGCGGCGTTCCAGCTGGAATTGAAGGCCTAAAAGCTCTAAAAGAACTTCAGCTAGCTGACCTGTTCACAAATGGCTCATTCCCTTCAGAGATTGGCAACTTGTTGAATCTTGAAGTTCTTGTTCTTAGCCAGAATAGTTTCTCACCGCAGGAAATCCCACCAAGTTTTATCCAGTTGAAGAAACTGAGACACCTCTGGATGAAAGAGGCTGAGTTGATTGGCAAAATCCCGGAAAATATCAGCAGCATGGAAGCACTAGAGTACCTGGATTTATGCAAAAATTACTTGAGTGGAAACATTCCAAGTGACTTGTTCCTGCTCAAGAATTTGACCACAGTTTTCCTCTACACAAACAGATTGTCTGGGCCTATTCCCCGTCCAGTTATGGCATTCAATTTGAATGTAATTGATTTTTCTAATAACAGCTTGACGGGGAGCATTCCAGAAGACTTCGGAAAGCTGACAAAGTTGGAGGGTTTGAACTTGTTCATGAATCAATTATCGGGCGAAATACCAGTAAGCATCGGTAGATTGCCAGCACTGTCTTCTATTCAACTCTTCATGAACAATCTGTCAGGTGAACTTCCGCCAGATTTTGGTCGATTTTCAAAGCTTCAACGTTTTGATGTTTCCACAAACCAACTTACAGGATCACTACCAGATGGTTTGTGTGATAATAAGGTGTTGTATGTCATTTGTGCTTTTAAAAACAAACTCACGGGTGAGTTACCAAAATCACTTGAGGATTGCAACACCTTGAGAGGGGTCAGGGTTGAGAAAAACAATCTTTCAGGTACATTTCCTGATGGTCTGTGGACAGTTGGGCCTTTGACAGAGTTGCGGATTAACAATAACCGGTTCACTGGTCAGCTGCCACAAAAGGTAGTATCAAATTTATTATCTCAAGTTGATTTCAGCAACAACCAATTTTCGGGTGAAATTCCTCCTGCAATCTCTTCTTGGAGCAAGCTAGAGACCTTCGGGGCAAGCAATAATTTCTTAACAGGTAAAATTCCTCAAGAACTCACGGCTCTTAGTTCTTTATCAGTCCTTATGCTTGATGGGAATATGCTTTCTGGAAATTTTCCTTCAAATATTACATCTTGGAAGTCATTGACCACATTGATATGCAGTAGAAATCAGCTTTCCGGTACAATCCCTCCAGCACTAGGTCTTTTACCAAACCTTAACCAGCTAGACCTGTCTGAAAACCAATTCTCGGGGGAAATTCCACCTGAAATAGGCCGTTTGAAGCCATCTTCACTCAATCTGTCCTCAAATCATCTCTTGGGGAAAATCCCAGATCAATTTGAAGATGCAGCTTTTCAAAAGAGCTTCTTGAATAATCCTGGTCTTTGTGCTACTACGCCCTCATTAGGCCTCAGGGATTGTGGGGCAAAAACTAAGAAATCTAACAAGATTTCAGCCGAAGTTACTGCCATTCTAGCAGCATTTTTATTCGTAGTGGGCGGTCTACTTATGCTGTATATGTTCAGAAAATATAAGAAAAGAAAACCAGCATTATCGGCTCTCGATTGGAAGCTCACACCATTCCACACTTTGAGCTTCGACCAATCAAACGTTGTACCAAATTTGAGAGAGGAAAATGTGGTGGGGAGTGGTGGATCAGGGAAAGTTTATGTTGTGCAATTGAGTAATGGACAAAAAGTTGCTGTCAAGAGAATTTGGAGCAATCACAAGTTGGATGAGATGCTTGAGAAGGAGTTTCAAGCAGAAGTTAAAATACTGGGAACAATTCGTCATTCCAACATAGTCAAGCTCTGGTGCTGCATTTCATGTGAAGAATCAAACCTTCTTGTCTATGAATACATGGAAAATCGCAGCCTCGACCTATGGCTTCATGCAAAGAAAAGATCAGCTGGCAAATTCGTGGACTGGCCTACTAGACTGAAAATCGCGATCGGAACTGCTCAAGGGCTGTCCTATATGCATCACAATTGCTCACCACCAATTGTTCATAGGGATGTAAAATCCAGCAATGTTCTTCTGGATTCAGAGTTCAATGCCAAGATTGCAGATTTCGGCCTAGCCAGAATGTTGATGAAACGTGGAGCTCCCAACACAATGTCCACCTTTGCTGGCACATGTGGGTATATAGCTCCAGGTGAGTCACTATACATATGTTTCATACTAAATTTGTCTTACAAATAATGAACTTTGCAAGTTAAACCTTTTGTTTGATAATGTATGTTGATCTCAGAGTATGTAAATACTAGAAAGGTGAATGAGAAGATTGATGTGTATAGTTTCGGCGTGATCCTTCTAGAACTGGTGACGGGAAGAGAGCCGAACGATGAAGATATGGATTGTTGCCTAGCTGATTGGGCCCGATACTATGTTGTAGAAGAAAACCCCATTGAGGATGCTTTGGATGAGGAAATAAAGGAGGCAGAGAACATAGAAGAGATGTGTGGAGTGTTCAAGCTTGGGATCTTTTGTACTGGTAAAAGTCCAGCTCAAAGACCAACCATGAGAGAAGCCTTGCGGATCCTCCAACATCCCAGCCCTCTATCACCATATGGCAAAGAAATAAGTGTTAGTGAGGGTGATGTTTTACCGCTTATTAAGTGTTCTAGTAGTGAGGGGATATTGGAAGATCATTGTTTAAAAATAGAGGATAGAAACTGTGAAATTTTGGACTTTAGGCAATAGTAGATTGTAAATAAGGAGTTTTTTACGGGGCTTTTGGCCCTTCAATTTTTTTACTTTTAAAAATTTAACCCCTGTAAATTGATTTGAACAAATCTAACTCTTTAATTGTTCATAATGTATTAATGTAGCACATTTTGTCCCTCATGTTATATAATTAGAATTTTTATTTTTTTTGAAAATCTAATTAGAATTGTTTTTAATAATTTATATAATTAAAATATAAATTATACTAGTTTTATACTAAAGTAAAGTATTCTCAGTAGTCGTGGATTCTGTATTTCGTCTGAAGATCTGAGCTTTTATTTTTATTTTTTCCATTTTCATCTTGTTCTACCATTGAACCGGAAATCGTGTTTGGTCGCCTGGTTTGTTTTGCCTTAATTTGTTTTGGTTGGGGTTAATCTAGTTTCGTGGATGATGAGAACGTCAATGAAGACGGTCGTGACCGTCACCGTCTCTGTGGAAAAGTTTTTTTTTTTTTAATTATTATTATTATTTTTTTTTAATTTATGTATTTATTTATAATAAAAAGTATTTTTAATTTTGAATAAATAAATTACCTAAATTTTTAAAAACAATTTTAATTATATAATATGAGGGACTAAATGTATCACATTATGAACAATTAAAGGGTTAGATTTGTTCAAATCAATTGATAGGGGTTAAATTTTCAAAAGTAAAACAATTGAGGGGCAAAAAGCGCTGTTTTTCCTTTTATAAATATATAAGTGTTCTAGTAGTGAGGGGATATTGGAAGATGTGTTAGGATCGATACGGTTTACAACACCAAAATACAATAGCAGCTTGAACTGGAAATATTGAGAATAAATTTCTAGTGTAAGATTTAAAATAAATCATACACAAAATAAGGCAAATTGATGAAGAATTTTCTGTATTAGCAAAATGATATTACAATAGAAATTACAAATATAACACTCTATTTACTCTCTGCAGAATTTGCTATGCTACTGGAAATTTTCGAGCTAGATGGGATGAAGAAAATGAATGAAGGATGTTGCCTGGCCTATTTATAGCAACCAAAAGTCTAGAGAATTCTAAGCATTTAATGTTACATTAAATGTCTAGGGATTTGCAATGCAATAAAACTTCTCCTGCAAATTTTTCCAAGCAAAACCTATGTCCAAAAACCCCATCTCTAGCTTTTCCCTTTAGGGCATCCCAAAAGGAGATTTTGGGGGATTTTGACACAAAGTTTTAGAAAAGTAGGCTGAGTTGGAAGAGAGATAAAGAAGAGAGAGATGATTTATTTACCTCCTGCAAGCACCCCAAAATTATCAGACTTTGGGTCCCACCATTTCAATGGAGAGTTGCGCCTCACATGCGTGAGGCGCAACTCTCGCGCCCACGCGCCAGCCTGAGAGCGTAAATCATTTTATTTTTTTTTTCTTTTACAGCTTTTAATTTCTTTTTCTTTTTTTTTCCTCTCATTCTATTTTCTCTTTCCTAATCATACTTACAAAAACTCCTCAAAATCCACACCAAAATCCTCACTATTGAGGATGCCCTTAGGCAAACCTATGCCCATGCTTTTTCCCTTTACAAACATATGCCCAAGCATTTAATGCATTTGTCTTATTCAAACTTCATCCCAAGTCTCCTTAGGAAACCTCCTCTCAAATTCCCTTAGGAAAACTCCTCCCAAGTTCCCTTAGGAAAACATCTTCCCATTCCACATTTGACTTTAATATTTACCGGATGAAGATCATGGTTTCCAAATAGATGATAGAAACTCTAAAATTTTAGAATTTAGGCAATGGGGTAGATTGTAAATAAGGTAATTCAAAAGGAATTAAAGAAATAACAAGAATATGGTAAGAGTTACGAAAAATATAAATTGAGTTGGAGTAATCAAAAAGATAAATAATAAATGAATGAATTGAGCGTTTAGAGTTTTTAATTTCTCCTATATATGAAATTATTTTAAGCGTCATATTATAAGTGATAAGATTTGACATACTGTAAAAAGAAAAGCACCCTAGATGGAGTAGATGGTAAAGAAGAAGAAGATGCGTCCTTTGAAAGAGAAAAAAAAATGATACTTGATATATATTACTTAAAGTTTACAAGTTAGGGTATTTATACCGTAAAGCAATTAATGATAAAGATATAAATTGCGTAAAGAATCAATATTTATCTAATATAATATGGAGTAATTCCTAAGAATAAGGAATACAAATGTTCTAAATATGTGCAAATGGTGAAATTAGGAATATGGAATGATTCTTTATAAAAGAATCATTCCATATTCCTAATTTCACCAAAGTTGGATGACTTCAAAAGCAGAGAGAATAAAAGTTGTTTTGATTTGACCAACGGTGACTTTTTATGAATAAAAATGATAATCGGCTTCGACATGCTTAGTGCATTCATGAAAGGCCGATTTGTTTGCAAAACGGAAAACAGCTAGATTGTTGCTTGAAAGTGCATTCGCAAATAATTGACAATGCATTTGGAAACTTAGTTTTTTTTTTCAAATGCATAATTGTAATTATAGAAATTTTAACTAATTTTTGTTAATTTTGAGCATTTGATCATCCTAGATGGAATGGCTAAATTTGTCCACACTTTTCACTTAGAGAATTGTTCTCATTTGATCCTAATAATATATAAAAATTGAACACTTTTTAGTTAGGTTCGATTTTAATCGAATTGAACCGAAATGAAAACGTTCAGTGTACACAAAGTATAACCATTTAGTTTTGGACAATAAACCAAAATTGAACTGGTCTGGTCGATCTGGTTTGGCTTGGGTTATTTGAACTGAAATATTCACCCTTAACAAGCACCATGATTCACGATATAAGTATTGTGAGTTATGTAAGTGTAAAATAATTTACACAATATTGGCTATTTTATTTATTAGTCTCACTAGCTTTAAATTAATTTAGTGTTGTTAGATTTATTTCTTTTATGGACCATGTGATTACAAAATAAGTGGCTAGCATACACTGGTGAATAAAGTCTACGATGAAGCCTTCAAAGAAATAGATGTGTGGCTGTGGCTTATTCGAACAGTGGAAAGCAAGGAAAGGGGCTACAATTGAGGATCAAATAAAGGGGCTCATGAAGTACTATAAAAGAGCACTGCTCGAATGAAGACATTGTCAATCTGATTATTACAAATTGCGAGAGCTATCCTGATTTACTAAGCGATTCAATTTTTAATGTGATTTATTATTTAATTCTTAAGAGTTTTAATCTGTACTACATGATCAGTACGTGGTACTGCTGAAGCAACTTGTGAAGATTGTTTGGGTATTCGTGTGTCAGTCCTGGATAGGTGTTAGAAAGAGTGGTAGTGGTAAAGGCTGGAGGCCGTCTTCATTTACCTCTTGTAATACTCCTTTTGGTGAACATTTATAGTGGATTAGGCAGACGTGGGTTGCCCCACAGACGTAGGAGAAGGAGCTCCGAACTGCGTAACAATTTCTTTGTGTTTTTAATTTACTTTATGCTTTCTGCAGTTATTATTTATACTTGCATATATGAGTTTAATTAATTAACTAAATTGGTGCATAACTTAATTAACAAGTAAAAACACATAGATTTTATATTTCAAGTGTCACGGTACAATTTCAATTGGTATCAGAGCTTGTAGACTTAATCTATTAGTCTATCGATCTGGCGAATCCGTGCATCTTGAATTTATCTCTTAAGCGGCTCTTTTTATTTTTCTGTTTATTGCTTATTTGTTTGATCTCACGGGGTGTTGAGTATTGCAGAATGGATCAAACTAAAGCCATTCCCTAGTTGACTGGCGACAACTACGCATATTGGAAGGCGCGCACCCGTACGCATCTAAAGGCTCAAGGTGAAGCCGTATGACGGTCTGTGGTGTCAGGCTGGACACATCCCACTAAACCCAGTTCCAGCGCTGATGGAACAGAAGTCACTAAGCCAGAAACTGAGTGGACTCAAACAGAGATAACAAATGCAGGAAACAATGATAAAGCCTTAGACACAATTTATTCTCTTATGCATGAAAGTCAGTTTTCAATTGTTGCAGGTATTCCTTCAGCTAAAGGTGTTTGGGAGACTCTTGAGTCTACATACGAAGGAACTACATCGGTAAAACAGTCAAAGCTGCAACTGGTCCAGTCAGAATTCGAAGAACTGCGCATGAATGAGGATGCGACAGTCATCGACTTTCATACACGCATACAGGAACTGGCGAATCGCGCAATGGTCCTTGGTGAACCATTCTCGCAGGAAAAACTTGTTAAGAAGATACTGAGATCTCTACCGCCCAGGTTTCGAATGAAAGTCACATCCATCTTAAAACATATGAAATGGAGATTTTAATTGATCATACGAAAAAACAAAAAAATATTGCTTTTGCCGCTGAAGAAAATAATGTTGTATCCGATTCAGATGAAACTAGTGATGATACAGTTGCGTTCTTGACTAAACAGTTTTCCAAAATTTTGAAACAGGTATCCAAAAACACACGCAACAGAAATCCACAAAAGGGAGCAACGTCGTTCAAAACTGCACCTAGGACAGGGGCGTCAAACGTCAAACAGTCTGTCTCACGTACAGGACAGTCCAAAGAAAGGTCCAACAATAAAGGAATAAAGTGTTATGAATGCGAGGGCTTTGGACATGTACAAGCTGAGTGTGCCACCTATCTTCGACGCAAAAAATCTATGTCAGTCATTACCTGGAGAGATGACGAGCCCGACGCTGAACCAACTGGATCAGATGTCGAAGAAATTTCGGGTAATTTTGTTGCATTTACGGCACGATTTACTGACAGTTCAGAACCTGTTGAAGACTCAGAAGGTGGTGATTATGTCTCTGCAGAAGATGTGGAACTAAATGCTTTATCTTTTGAAGCTGAATTTAATAAGTTGTATCCCAAATGGGAAGCATTAAGAAAAATGAACTGCAAACTAGCTAGTGAAATAGAGATTGTAACCAATGCAAATAATGTATATCAAACTCAAGTAGCTGATAGGAATGTATTGCTTAAAGAAGCAGTAGGTCGAGAGGAAAGACTACAAAACGAAGTACAAACTGGAAATGTACTTCTTAAGGAAGCAGCTGACCGAGAAGCAAAACTCCAACAAGAAGTTCAGAATTTGAAACAGGAGCTCAGCACCTACAAACGACAAATCCAAATGATGGATACCACTTCAACACTTGATAAGATTCTTGATTCCGGCAGGAAAACTTCTGCAAAATATGGTTTGGGCTTCACTGGTAGTAACTCCAAAGATAAGACTGTATTTGTCAAAGAATCCGGACCTAATCCAGACGACATCCCTAAATGCAGCACTACGAAACGCTCCTATGGTAAACTAAGCGTAAATAAGATAAGCTATAAACTATATAATCCCGTTTGCCACTATTGCAGGTTACGCGGACATACCAGACCCGAATGCTACTATTTCTACAAGGATCAAAGAATTGAGAAGTTCAGGCACAAGAACATTCGACCGTTCACAAAACAGATTTGGGTCAAAAAGACTGATTATATATCGTTTGTTTCATTTCATACTAAAAGTGTAGGACGATAAGAGAAATGGTATTTTGACAGCGGGTGTTCCCGTCACATGACAGGGAATGTCAAATTCCTGAACAACGTTAATACCAGTAACGGTGAAGTTACTTTTGGTGACAATGTCAAAGGTCAAGTGACTGGCGTAGGCACTTTAAATGTAGCTGGTTTGCCGAAGCTGGACAAAGTGTTACTTGTCCGTGGACTTCACGCTAATCTTATTAGCATAAGTCAATTGT